ATAAGAATGGAGACTATTTCATTTAATAAGTGTTTTGTTTTGATGTATAAGTTGTTTGAGTTTTTTCATGTAAAAAAAAAGTGACATTAAATTCTTGATGAACAAATACTATGTACACAAAATGTGACTCAATACATTTTAAAATAACTTTCTTGTATGACTTCGTTGTTGCAAATATGTCAAACCACCTGATCAAAACCTAGTGTATGTGGTCAAATCCTGCTAGTCAGACATGATGGCTTGTGCATTCAGTCTATCAGAGTGAGTTTTTGGTGAGATTCATCTTTGAGAATGAGTGTTCATCTTCACAGACTGTTACTAGTTGTGTTAAGAATGTGAGAAGAAATTAGCAATTTAGAGTTTATTTCACCAAGTGATTATGTTTCTTGAGGAGTATTTTCACATTCAGTGTTCACTTCATAAACATCAAAATCTCTTATTAATCTGATGAGCTGCATCAAACTGAAGTTTTGCTGAATCATTTTTGGTAATTGCTTGGAGGCATGCAAAACCAACATAAATCTGTTGATGTGCCGATTGATATTGTATTGTCACCAAACACATGGTTAAAAATGACCTGAAATGACTAAATCCTAAAATTTCAGAACTGTTTTCTTTTCCTGGCTAAGTTAATTGTTTTCAGCTTGTTGTATCCAGTGACATTTGAGCAAGCGTATGTACAACTGATTTAATCTTTCAACAGAGTATCGAAGCTGTAGTTTGATGGCTGATTGGTTAATTTAGCTCTTCTAAAATTGCTAATTTTGAAGGAGCTAATCTACATGTTCTGTACTGTGAAAGACACAATATCATATGTAACACTCTATAAAAGGTAATTTCTGTTGTCAGAGTTACTTTTTGCAGTAGTTTATTTAAAAAGAAGCACTTTGCATTATCCAAAATGTTGCATGATGGTTTGTTTACTGTATGGCCACTATTTGCTGTACTTGCTCAAGGATTAGACAAAAATGCAAATGTTTTTTTAAAGTTTCATGGATTTTGCTCTCTTGAACAATTTTCCTAGCATATATGTGACAAATGTGCTGAATATTTCTTAAGGTAAAAATTTTCTGTTGCTAAATATGCAGTAGCAAACAATTATTGACTGGTTATGAGGGCAACAAATGATCTGTTGCCCAAAATCATTTGTAAATATTTGCTTTATCCTACAACCTCTCTTCTGTTTACAGTTTTGCTAAAATCTAATTAATTAGAGCCATCATCACTGGGCCTAGATGTAAATCATAATATTTATAATTTCATTGAAGATTTTGATGTCATTTTAAGAATCAGTAATAAATCAATATGGTGTAAAAATGTTTACTTTTCAAAACACCCCCATCATCATGTGATCATATCAATAAATGTGTTAAGTACACTTGTCTAACTTCGGCATAAAATTTGCATAGAATGCTGGTGAGGTTTCAAACAATGTTTGTAAATTAGGCTTGAATAAATTAGCATTATTCCTCTGTGCTGCAAAAGATTGTCATTTGAAAAGTCTGCTGTTTAAACAACTCTGCAGCTCTTCATATATATATATATATTGAAATCTTCCTCCATAAAATATATTCACATTCATGTTATGAGCTTGAGAAAATTCTTTGTAATTAGGGGTAAATAAATCACCATGTTTTTACTGTGCTACAAAAAATTGTATGCAAGTTTCTGCTGTGATGTTATTCACGAATGGCTCTGAACTTGAAAACCAGGAAGCACTGGTATGATTTGTTGACGAACTTTTAAAGGCAATGGTTTAAAATGTTTTGTACTATGTGATGCACTGTAGGCCAATTGCAGCAAAGAATTTGTGTTAGGGATTAGAATGACGTATTCTTTGAGCCAGTTGAGGAAGGTGCATAGTCTCGATTCCAAATTTTGAAAATAGCAACCCTCACATCTGAAAGTTCATAGTGACTGCCACATGAGTCTAAAACCTTATTCAGCAAATTCCACAGAATCATGAACATGAAGATGCATGTAAGTTTTGTAATTTATGTTTATATAGTGTTATCTTCTTGGTAAATGTGGTCAGTGTGTGTTAATCAAATTACTATTTTAGAATACATACCTCTAATCCAGTTTTGTTCTTCAATATAAACAGATAGATGTTGAAGAATAAAAAAGTGCAAGAATTGAAATTCAAGTGAGCCCTATTAACATCTTGCGACATACAGCTGGGTAGCTTTATTAAAGTTCTGTGAACCCTATTAACACATTGCGACATACAGCTGGGTACTTTATTAAAGTTCTGTGAACCATATTAACACCTTGCGACATACAGCTGGGTACTTTATTAAAGTTCTGTGAACCCTATTAATACTTTGCGACATACAGCTGAGTACTTTATTAAAGTTCCGTGAACCCTATTAACACATTGCGACATACAGCTGGGTACTTTATTAAAGTTCTGTGAACCCTATTAACACCTTGCAACATACAGCTGGGTACTTTATTAAAGTTCTGTGAACCCTATTAACACCTTGCAACATACAGCTGGGTACTTTATTAAAGTTCTATGAACCCTATTAACACCTTGCGATATACAGCTGGGTACTTTATCAAAGTTTTATGAACCCTATTAACACCTTGCAACATACAGCTGGGTACTTTATTCAAGTTATTCTTTATTCATTAAGATATTAATTTAAGACCTATTGCTAATTTTTCTCATTTCAGAATCTGTATGTTCTATTTATGCTGTACAATTTGCTCAAGAGATAAAATCAAAGACTGCACTAAATGTCTTTTTCCTTTGCTGGATAATCTGTTGTATTGAAAGGGTATGGGGATGAAGCAGCAATGCTAATGGAGGTGTTTAATTGGTATCTTAGAACCTTTACCAGACAAAGAGTACTGGAACATTACTTGATTGTTTTTCAGTCATCTTGATTAATAATATTTGTGAGGGTGGTAATCTCCAAACCCAGTTTAATTTAAATATACCAGGCTACTTCAAAGAGTTTTTCAGACTAACACAAGAACTGAAAGGAAAATTATAATATATAGATTTAAAAAAAATGATTCTGATGTACAAATATTTAAAGAAATGCATAAATGTTTAGTTGGTACAAATTATTGTAATTCCGGGTGTTAGAAAAGGCTTTGGCATGTAATAGTTACATTTAATTATAATTAAATGTTTTGTACATTCCTCCTTTCATTATTGAATAAAATGTTTTTCAGAATTTTAAGTTATGAATTTGAATCTTCAGATTTTTAAGCATTTGATTCTATTAAACCTTAAATGTGTATGAATTATTATGACATGATTGTGTGTGTATATTATTTTATATGATGAATGAGAAAAACACATTACTATACATTGTCTGTCTTTGTGATTAGGCTGGTAAATTTGCATTGTTTACATGTATATGTATATATATATGTGAATAGTGCTTGTGTATTTTGTCGAAATAAGTCACTAATTATACTTTTTATGGTTATTTGCTATCTTGCTTAAAAGATCACATGCTTGTTGGAGAATGTTTCAGAATAAACCTTTATTGAAAGTGGAGGTATCCATTTTGCTTTTTTAAATTATGCTTATGTTTACTTATTTGTTTTGAAAGAAATTATTGGCCAACTAATCCATGAATTTGTAATATGTGATAACATTTTTTTTATGGGAATGGATATTGTTGGTTTGACTAGCAAGAAGTTTTCTAAATTTTATTGTCTATAAAAGTCAAGCAAAGTATAATATTTTATTTCAAGTGTGTTGTTGTTTACGTAAATGTACAGTCACGTAACTTGACATTAAAGTTCCTTCTTCATTATATACGTAATTAAATAAAGCCTTGTTAGGAGACCAATTTCTGGCTTTATTCTGTAATACAAAAGCTGTAAAAATTTATTATTTCAGCATACTTAAGATATATATTTAATCTCTTTTTAAGCTTAATTACTAGGTTTTTTAATCAAACATTGTTAATTAACTCAACATATGTATATGTGATTATACATCACATAAGGGGTAAAATATAATATTTGAAATAAAGCTTGTTGATAACTTGGATTTTTTGTTATTATTATTGTTATATTATCCATTTCATTGGATAATTACATTTATCATTTGACAGGAGGAGGTACAGTTTTTCTTGTCTGTTATGAAACATCTTATTGTTCTATACAAATATCATGTTATTATTTTTAATAAATTGCTTTTTGAAACTATTTGCATTGTTCTGGGCAATATTCTGAACTGTAACTCCTGTCTTCATCTCTTTATACATGTACATATCTGAATCTAAAGGGCCCTGGTATGGCCCATTGGTTAGAGCATTCGACTCGCAATCTGTGGATGGGTTTGAATTCTATCACTGAACAAGCTCACCTTTTCAGCCAGGGGGTATTATAATGTGATGATCAATACCACCTTTTTATTATTAAAAGTGTAGCCCAAGAGTTGGTAGTGGGTGGTGTTGATTAGCTGCTTTCCCTCTAGTCTGTCACTTCTAGATAGTACTCGAGTAGCATTGTGATGAAATTCAACAAACAAACAAAACTGTATCTAAAGGAATCATATCTCAATTATAATTCATTCTGTTGTTGAAGTAGAATAAACTCAACACCATACATATACACGTAAACAAGATATATTGAAATGTTTTACTTTTGAAATTTAGGGAATTGTGAAAATTAAAAAAAAAAGATTTTAAATAATATCTCTTCCCTGTAATGCCATTTTTAGCCCTGCTATAAAATTTTAAATCTTACATATTTTTTCATTCAAAACTTTTGATAATAAAATTATGATTAATAAGTCTTAAGAAATTAACTTTGGACTAACTTTTTTCCCAAAACTTCTATGCTTGTAGTTGGTAACTTTAACTAGACCTGATTATTTTAGTACAGTGTGTTCAAAATTGTCTTTCTTCATTTAAACTTCAATAATTAATTATCTAAGGAAATACAACCCTGCAGTTTTCAACATCTTGTAGCCCAATCAAACAGTTTTTATTAACATTTCAGCACTTTTTAACAATATTCGATTTCAGTTCACATTTGCTGCAACATGTCCACGGTTACAGTGGTGATGGTGTCCATTATCCTGGTTATTAGCTCCGTGATATTTGCTGTAGGTGTGTGATACAAGATATCCTTAATATACCCCCATACATCTTTCCTGTACTGGTGTCTATAATTATGCTGCACCACAATCATTGACTTGGTCTGTGCAAGCCAAACATCTCATTAAGCTTTTTCTTGCACAGTTGCCATTTTAGGAAGTAACACTACTCACTGGAGGGAAAAAAAAACATGACAATTAAAACTGTTTGAGTTGGCTACAATATGTTGAAAACTGTATGGTTGTGTTTCTTTATTTAGTTAATTATTAAATTTTACAATAGGAAAGATAACTTTGGGATTATGATATTGGTTTTAAGGTTGTAATTAAGAAAATTTTCATCTGTGCTTTTAGTATGTTTTTTATTTCTGTAGGGAGCACATTCTGATTGGATATTTGATATCAAGTGGTTGGATGACCAGTTTTTTGTCTCAGGTATGATTTTGAAAGTAGCGTGTGCAATATATGTTGTGTTGTATATGTTTTTAATGAATTGTTTGAAATAGCTTCATATGAATAAAGAAAGTAAGGACTTGTTACTTGTTTGTTTATTGGCTTCACATTATTCACATTTTCTGCATTTTATTTTTTTGTAATAAAGATTTGTTTGATATTGTAGGAAAAATTAAAACAAATGTCATCATAGATGAAAGCAAAGGGCTTTTGAAATTGGTACTAAAGATAGTTTAAAACTGTATAAAAGTTCAAACATTAGTTTTGATATGGAAACTTACTTTTCTGTTCTCTCATTTATTAAGTTATGATTACTACATTATAATAGATAAGAAACCTACAGTTAATCAGAGTATGAAGCTAATCTTCCTGTCTGCTTACAAACTTACCCTAAAGCCAAAATTATATGATAACTCAGGTGTATGCCAATTAGACTTTTTCTCTAACCATAAACTAAGCTTAATCATAATTTCTCTTTATTAGTGAAAGTCTGGAAGCTTTAACTTCTGTTGTAATTCAAATATACACTACACTGAAACAAGGTTTGATTGTAAAACACCTTAACCTTAATTTGTATGACAGATGGTATTTAGCACATATGGCATTGTCTTTTAATGATATGTATTATTCACATGAGTGCAATAACAATATGAAATTTTAAGTTTTTTAATTTTTTTTTGGTAGAAGTGTGTATAAGTTTCATTGGTATCATTGAAAAAAGTAAAACATGCTTTTTCAAATGTGAAATTAAGGAAAGAGGATAGATTTTTTAGAAAAGTATCATTAACTATAGCATAAAAGTGAAATCACCTTTGTATTTATTTTCATTTCTTGTTAACGAATTTTAGAAAAATGGGTTATGATCTGAAGAATGAATTGTTAAAACTAAATGTTTATGAATGTTGTTTTTCAATGCTTCAAATGATAAATAGTTACTATTACTTTGGTTCACACCATGCTTCTTAAAGTATGAATTTCCTAAAAACAATTGTTTTAATTTTGAAATATTTGAATAGGGTCATTTCCAAAATATAATACCTCCTCTCTAACTTATAGCTATTACTCGACTGCAAGGGTTTCTTCCTTTGCCCATCTAAACATTGGTCTGATTTTTCCCTGATTGTTCCAGTCTTTTATACCCCACTTAATTGCCCTTGGTGATATTTGTCTTATGATACTCTCCACTTACGTCAATGCTCCCTTTATCCTGGTACTGTATAAAAGCATCTCATTCACATAATGTTATCACTTTTTCTTGACAAAGTGTTGACTAACGGGTTTTTTTTCGTACTAGTACTATGATCGTTGGAGATACTTTCAGCATTCTTAGTGTCATCTAGTTGAATTTTTTAAAAAACAAATAAAAACTATGATTCGCAAGCCAATATACGGTATAACTTTATGGATTATTATTTTGGCACAGAGGCAAATCATGTCCCTCCAATCCCACTTCTGGTATATAGCGTTGCACAACAGTCGGGAGGAGTTGGGGAGAAGTCACTTTCGGTTGAAACTGTCAGTGTTCTTATTTGTAGTGAGATGAAGACATATATTTGGTTCAGTGGTGTTCCTACAGGAGCTCTGAGGCTGCAATTGCAGGTGATCCTGAACATTCTGGAGAGAATTTCTATTAGCTTTTTCATGCACCTTCATTTATTCCGTTAGCTTCTCATCCCCCTGTGGGACAGTTGTAAGCTTATGGACTTGCAATGCTGAAGTCCAGGGTTTGATTACTACTGGAGACATAGCAGTTGGCCTAACATTGTTTTCCTCTAACACAACAAACTTACCTGATAACATGTTCCTTACAATGGTTATCAGAACAGTTTTTAGAAGACATCGGAATGGAGGCCACTTTGGAATCAGCTGCTTCTGAGTTGTTTTCTTCAGTTGGTACATTGAACATGATGTCTTGGGTCTTTTCCCAATGGCTTTTGAACCTACACTTACTTGATGGCTGAAAGGTCTGGTCATAAATATTAGTTTTCTCTCCATCCACAAACATTGTGGTTCATACAGGGAGGTTTACTGCTCAGTTATGAGACAGGAAAGCTTGGCTTTAACCACCACAGTTGTCAGAACTACATGATTTAGCCTACCTACCACTGCCAGGTGGAAGTATAATTCGACTCAAATACTACATCAGCTCCTTGATATTATGAGTTCTAAGGTGGTGTTCACATGAACAGATCAATGTTCCCTGGTGGAACAGGGGTATGTTTGTGGACTTACAACTCTAACATCCAATGTGTTGTTTTCCTAACACTAAACCTTGTTGGAAGACTCTCAGGATTTCAAACTTCATTACTGATGAGTTGTAATCATTGTTAGCATGCTCAATGGTTCAGTTGTCAGCTTCTACATTCATCCTTGTTATCGTTGGCATCTTGACTTTTATTGGCACCTACAGGGGGTCATAGTTCTGCCCCTTTTTGAGGGTCCCGACCGCCGACATCAACCCCTCGGTACATTGGTACCCAGAATATATTCTGTCCATATTCACAGGTTCCACTGCTTGGTTGGAATGCCACTTGTGGTGTTGGGGATTATTATATGCCTTCAGAGTCTGTGGGGGTTCGGCTCTGAGAATTTCTGGACATGGGGTAACTTTACCCTCAGATTCATTGGCACTATAGGCCCTTGAGTCAGGATTAGTCATGCATTTCACCTCTTCAACACCATTATCCACCCAACCTGTAGGTTTTCTGTCTTCCTCAAATCCTCAGATTTTACAATTTAGATCTATGGCTATCAGAGTTTGATTGTTCTAGTTGTTGTGCTAGTTCCTCCAGGGTTTTATTCCCTTCAGTTGTTGCATATAAGAGATAGGAGATGGGCATCCAGTCATCGATTTTATTTTGGCTACATCAATGCCTAGATTCTTAAGGTTCACAAGTGACTCATTCCTAAATCTGAATTGGCTTTTTTTACTAGGATTGTGGATGTCAAAGTTTGGTTTAGTTGGCTCCTATCTGCATATTGCCATAGTGGAGATATCCTGCCACTTTCAGCATTTTTTGTGCACAAGGGTTGGGTATTGCACTTCGTGGTTTTTACCTTTGGACTAGCTTTGGCACCATGTGGGTTCTGCCAATTCATACAAGATTTTCCTTGTCACCCTATTCCCTAGCCGGATTCTACTTTCAGTACTTTAATGCAGGCTTCATTCTCAGAGCTGATACATCTATTCTTGCTCCAACTCAATATGTTGTCAGTCTGGGTATTTTTTTTTTCATCATGTATCTTAGTCTGGCTCAGCCGACTCCCATCCAGCTCCACACTATGGAACAGGAAGCCTGACTCTTACTCCATTCTCCTTCTCCTATGGGACGGATGGTTCTTACTTTTTGGGGAATGTGGGCGTCACTCAAATCCCTCATGCCTTTGGGACAAACACACAAGAGATCCTTTTAATGTGCTTTATGCAACCAAGGGATCATAAACATCGATTCATTTGATTCTCCAGTTTCCTTATTCAGGATCATTCTTTGATTTTGATTCTTTATGAATCCTTGCTTCAGAGATGGAGTGCATATCTCAACAGTCTACACACAGACAATAAGGCTTACCTACACAATGTTTTAGTCCTTCTTGCTCTTCAAACAGTGATGCCTTATGATCTGGGCTTAGTAAAGAGAACATCTTCAAGCTTCACTCAGATATTTCCATAGTGGTGTCTTTTTCCCATCAAAGGGCAGTTGGTCCAGGACTCCTTGTTCTCAAACCTTAGATCTCCATTATTGGGACCACTTCTATCATATCACCCTCTTAGCTTGCCATGTTCCACAGTTGATGACTGCAATAGCAGATCAGTTGTCTCAACCCAACCAGATTCTCCCAACAGAATAGATGCTACATTGCAAGGTTTTCTGTTGAATTGGCACTCATTGGAACATCCACTTACTGGCAATTTGGTCTTCAGTACCTCACCTTTGGGCTTTGACAATGGATGCATTCTGTCATGACAGGATGGGATTACCACTCTAGGAATTCCTTCCAATTCATATGTTACCCAAGGTGCTCATTATGATTTGCTCCAACCCATTGTTGGGTCCTGTTTATAGCACCAGATTGGCAGCTACACCCTGGTTTCTGCTTCTGCAGTATTTTAGGGAGTGTCCACCTCTTCCACTTCCTCTTTGGCCATTTCTGTGGAGGCAACGATGATCTGACATGGTACACCCAGCTGTCCAGAAGCTCATGCTTCAGCCATGGAAGTTATGCAGTCCTTTGTACAGCATCAGGGTTTAATTTCTAGGGCTGCCATGTGTTTGTCTCAGGCTTTGCTTAGTCCTATGATGGATATTTTAAAATGAAAATGGCACATATTTCGGCAATGGTGTATTGAGAGGAGGTTACATCCACTTCACTCAGACTTGCCAACCATAACTTGTTTTTTGACCTGACTCTCTGGCAAAGGTTTGGCATCCTCCACAATCGTCCTGTATATGGCGGCCTTATTGACTACCGTTCGATACTCGAGACAAAACTTTTTTGAGTCCCCAGTATTCTCAGACTTTCTCAAGTTGATTTGGGCCCTTTGTCTTATATGACCATTCCAGTTAACTAACTGGTATATTGAGGTTACATTACATGCCCTCTCTCAACACTATCTCCTCGTAATTCTGAACTTGGAGTGGTCCCATCCTGGGTCCTGGGTTGAGCACAGTTGTTCCATGTTCTTCCCATAATTCCAGGGACAAACGGAATATACCTTTCTCACATGGCTGGGGAGTGAAGATGAATGTTCATAATTCCAGATCGGATGAGTTATGTTTCCTTTGGTTGAGTAAGGCATACTCAATCCCGTCATTCCTAGCCTAGGGTATTGCCTTTTGGGATTCATCAGGAGGAGGTTTGTTCATTTCAGTGTTGCTTAATTTCTTGTCGTGATTCCAGTGACTCAGAACACATCACTCTCTGGCTACAGGTTAGGATCCACTCATAAATATATATATATATATACATAACATTGCAGTCCA